CCCGATAGTTCAGTTTGGCCGGACGGCCAGCTCTAGGAAGGGTTCTGGTCGTCCCAAACGTCTTCCATTTAAGGATTATGGAGGCCACTGTGCTCTTTGGAACCTTAAGTGCAGCAGAAATTTTTTTTGTAACCTTGGCCAGATCTGTGCTTTGCCACAATTCTGTCTCTGAGCTCTTCAGGCAGTTCCTTTGACCTCATGATTCTCATTTGCTCTGACGTGCACTGTGAGCTGTAGGGTCTTATATAGACAGGTGTGTGGCTTTCCTAATCACGTTCAATCAGTATAATCAAACACAGCTGGACTCAAATGAAGGTGTAGAACCATCTCAGGGATGATCAGCAGAAATGGACAGCACCTAAGTTAAATATATGAGTGTCACAGCAAAGGGTCTGAATACTTATGACCATGTGATATTTCAGTTTTTCTTTTTTAATAAATCTGCAAACATGTCAAAAATTCTGTGTTTTTCTGTCAATATGGGGTGCTGTGTGTACATTGAGGAAAAAAATGAACTTAAATGATTTTAGCATATGGCTGCAATATAACAAAGAGTGAAAAATTTAAGGGGGTCTGAATACTTTCTGTACCCACTGTATATTATAAATGGGCAAGGGTTACTAAGTTTGTACAGTCACTTTTTTTCTTCTGAGATCTGGAGAGGTTTGTGAAGGGATGCATGTTTACATCCCCAGAACATTTGTGGCTCAACTCAGGTTCTGATTTATGTTTTACCAAAATTACCTCCGGTGTCAGAAAGATAAATCACAGCTTAGAAATGGGAATGTAATTTGCTTAAAGTATAAGTACTCCATTATACTATATTTAATTTTTAACTACTAGGATGCACAATGGAATGAACATGACCTGTCAATTAATATAGAGTTTGAAGATTTTAATGCAATAAAGGGAATTCCACAGATTTGCTTGTCCATTATATTGTGGGACTTGCAAGACACCAAAAAAGAATAGTCAAACCTGATATGGCTGAGGCAGAGATCTATGTATACTCCTTTCTAATTCACAGAAAACACTAGTTCGTACATTTCCCATTGTTCTTCTTCCACCACAGATCATCTGTGACATAGGCCCCGGGCTTTCTGTTCAAGTTTTTAAGTCTTGTGAAGCTTAGCCCTCCTGTTATGTTGCGGGTCAAATTGACCCACGAACATAACTGCTTTAAATGAGACAAATATTTGATATGACGAAATGAACATTCCCTCCTGTTATGTTCATTTCGTCATATCAAATATTTGTCTTATTTAAAGCAGTTATGTTCGTGGGTCAATTTGACCCGCAACATAACAGGAGGGTTAAGTTCTCCGACGAGCCACAGAAGACATTATTCAGCCATTTCTTACAGGCTGAGTAGTATAGATCATTACTAGACTTGATTTGTAAATTAGTTGAGTGTCTGTATATAGTCAGTACATACAGTTTTCAGACCTGTTCAAGTTTTCCACATTTTATGTTTCAGACTCAGTTTAAAATTGATTCATTTTATTTTTTCCTGTCAATCTACACACAATACTCCACAGTGATAAAGGGGAAACAGGTTTTGGAGTGTTTTGAAAATGTATTAAAGATGAAAGACTGAAATATCCCATTTACATCAGTATTCAGACCCTTCACTTGATGGCAGCAATGACAGCCTCAAGTCATCTTGAGAATGAAGCTGCAAGCCAAAAGAAATATGTGCTCTGGAGAAGGTTTTCATTCAGAATTATACTATGTTTCTCTGCATCCATCCTTCCCTCTATCCTGAATAGTCTCCTAATCCCAGGGACAGAAAAATGGGTTTGAATACTTTCTGTACTGGCTGTAACTGCTTATATACTACATAAGGTTAAAATAAGCCAGACATGGATTCATATACATACTGTTAAGACCATATACTTTCTGGAAGATCTTGAGATTTTGAATAAGCCAGCTTACAATGTCTCCTCCCGAGTTTTGGACTAATGACAAGGAGTCGGCATCAAGACAGACCCTCGGCTGACATGCTCATTGCTTGACTTGTTATATCAGTAAATTAAATAGAATATTAACCAAAGTCATTGCTTTGACACAGTCAGCTCAGATTGTATATTGTTTTGTGATGTTCAGAAGCAGCTCCCTGCAGAGAAAGTTTCCAATACATTCTGGCTGGCAAGCTGTACCCCACAGCCCTGAGCTCTCTACCATCTGTTCCTGTAAAACTGACATCGCCAGAGATGCAGAAACATTTAGGCAGTGAGCTTGTGGCCGTTTGGACTTGGAAGTTAATTAGCAATGGTGGTTGGAAAATATAGGCGTAGTACTGCATCTGAATCTTTGCTTTTAAAAACAAAAAAAACCTGCACCTGTTTCTGGAATGGGCTTGGAAAACTCACCTGAGAGAGTATGAGGACAGCAGGACAGGCCCCAGAGACTGATCTGTCTGGGACATGGTGAGAGTGTCAGGAAGAAGACAGAATCCGTTTCTTTTTCCTTGCCACTGCTCGGAAAATGAACATGTCGGCAAAGGTAGTATTTGGAAAGGGACGGCTCACTCCTCAGCAGCTCTCCTTCACGCTCCCTCAGACAGATTTCCTGAGGAAAGGCAGCTGGTCGGGAACAGGAAAGAGGAGGATGTTCTCTTTTTCTTTCAGATGTCGACTGGGCGTCGTCAGAGGTAGAACCAAAGGTAAAACCTACTTGAAAGCGGTGTCAGTTTTTGAAGAGATGAAGGTAACACTTCACAACATTGATTGCCCCATTAAGCATTTGGAAGCAGTATATAAATATCTTATAACAGGCTGTGACACCCATAACTGGATGCTGGGAAATAAATGATAATGAATTACAATAAAATGCAACATAACTTATAATATAAAATATTAGAAGACAAATACTGTCAATTAATAAAGAGCTAACTTACAGCTACATGACTTTAACTGTGAACTTTTCACCAAAAGTCACCAATTAATTACATCCATTATCTGTACTAATTAAAATGATAGTAAAATGTGTTTGAAGTAGGCCTGTTAAACCGGCCATTTGCTTTAAATAAAAAATGGGCCTTTAGGTGACCCTAGAGGTGACACTGAAGCATGCGTACATGTGACTCAACCCTGTCCTCTGGTTCTGTTTTGTCACACAATGATCTGTACGGGCTGACAAGTGAATTAGTCATTTTGCTTTTCTCATCTTCACTTGCAGCTGGAGCTGATCACCATGAGATGGCAGTGTGGTCAGTTTGATCAGTGAGGAGGTTGAGAGTCAGGCCACCATGTAACAAAGACCACTGTAAAGTGAAAAGTGTGTGGTCACTTCTTGGGAAGATTTTTTAAAGTAATCTACATCAAGATTTTGGAAAAATTTACAAACCATCACTAAATACTGAAAAACAAAACAGTTCTCATCTGTCGAGAAGTCTTTTCTAACTCTGCCTTTCTGTGTTGATTTGTGGTCCAGATGAAGTGCAGAAGAATACATTTGTACAGAGCCCATGTGTTACCCTGTTTCCACAGGTTTTCATCAGTCCAGCACACTGCTCTGTCCCCTGATTCTTTTTATTCAGGTGGAAACTAATTAGTCTCACTCTGAAAAGCTATGCTGGTTCACACTGTACACATATATTAAGGACAAAGCTCTCAGAGGAGATTCTCTCCACCAAAGAGCATTGTGTCCACTGTAACACCTGACTGGGCTCCAAGCAGCAGTGGACAGAAACATGGAAATGTTTGTAATCACTTTATATATCTGTAAAATAGGCAACTGTGAAATAAAGGCTGTAATTTCATATTGTGAGTTTTTGATATTAGCACCTTCCTCTGGGGGAAACATGAGATGTCGTGCTTTAGAAGGCGTGACTTTCAGTTTTCACACAATAATTCCAAATGTTCCTTATTTCTATCGCGTGTTCATTTATTTTCACATGATCACAGTCTAAATCTGTCACCAGAGCCCCATGCTCAACAACAGCACACTATTTTGAATGATTTTCAGCTGTTAGTCATGTTCTCAAACACACAGCTGTTCTGCACAGAAATTTTGCATTTGCATGTGCTTGGTTGTGTGTGTGTGTGTGTGTGTGTGAGAGAGAGAGAGAGAGAGTGAGAGATACTAGCACTGTGTGGACACAGTCTCTTTAAAATGGGTGCTGTCTCTATGTGAGAAAAACGTGACACTCTGCAAGGCACAGTCTAACAGGATATGCAGGTGTTGATTGTGCTGAGAGTTGTGTGTCAGGTGTAGTTTTTGTCATGCCTAATCTCAGTTTGTGTATATGTGTGTGGCTGGGTATGAGAATGTGTTTCACTTGGTGGGAAATAGATAGAGATTGTGTGTATGTGTGTGGTGAGGGAATGACTACTGTGTGTGCCTGCCTCACTGAGCCCCTCTGGCAGAGGGAGAGAGCGAACACACTCACTCGAGCGCCGTATGAGAGAGGAGGGCTATGTGTGAGCTCATGCGAGTGTATGAGCGAGCGATGATAAATCCCCTGGAAAAAGGAGAAACGATTTGTAAAAATAGCTCTAAAATGGACCCACAGCACAATGGCAAGAGAGGGATGTGAATCTTTTCTCTTCCTGCTCTGGTTTTTATAGAAACATAGAGTTTAGTACTGTAGACATCTGTTTTTGAGAAATGAAAAAATCATTTAATTCTGACATCTTTTCTTCACCAACTTTAAACAGCAAAGGAGACTAGAAACCATCTGAGGAGCACAATTTACCCTCTGGAACTCCAGCCTTTACTGGGTTTACAAACAGTGACAAGGGTCAAGTAAATGTTGGACTTAGAGAAAAGGACTGAAGAAACCAATATGGTGTTTCTGCTCTATCTGAGTGGCTGAGACTCAGCTCTGTCCACTACTAAAGATCAGCAACTTCCTGAGGGTGGCTGCGCTGACCTAACTGCAACCATGCTGTGTGGTCTGAGGAGAGACACCAAGAACAGCATTGGTAAGAACACTACACTTTGATCTTTACCATGCACAGTCAGCTCAGCTTGGGCTGAAGTAGAGAATGACAGAGCAGCAGGGCATCGGTGAGCATTTACTAACCGGTATAGGGCTGCTGTTGAGGGTCAGTCACAACATGTTTCAGCTAAATATATTGATTAATACTGAGATTTTGAAGAATATTTGCATGTTTGCAATGCAATACACAGTTGAATCATTATGGCAGCAATAGATCAAGAGAGATTTAAATACCAGTGGACTCAACCACCAGTTCTTCATACCTTCCTGCCATGTGTAATTGGGGCAGATATAGCAGTGTAAACTGGGTCTGGCAGGGCCCGGTTTATAAATAAAAATTCTTTTTAATCTGAAAATAGCATCATGATTTCATTTTCATTGTCAGTGCTGCCCCCATATTTAACCTACATTCCAACTGCTTATTGGAGGGAGGGCATGTAGTGCCCTGAATTAAATCAGAAGTTAATTAAGTTGCCACATATTTATGCAAGAAAAAGAATTTTATTTTTACTCACTGATCCTTTAAAAAATCAGCCTCATCTCTGTTGTCTCTGTAGAGGAAGCTTGTAATTAGTTCGAGGATGAGGTGAAGTTTCATACAGTAGCTGGTTTACTGTTGTGGCTGTTATTAATCAGCTCCTGATCCTGAATTCTGTCCATCATGGTGGGTGACAGTTATTTTAAGCTGGAGGAGGATGGCTGGGGAATGGCTTGATGGTAGCGTTCAGTCACATGCAATGCACTGGATCTTTTCACTGCAGTGACAGCTGCTGGACTGTCAGTGCCCTCAGAAGCCTGTGTGGTTACAGCTTTAGCCCTGCCTAATGTGTTTGGGATGTGTCACTCACTTTGTGAGTATGCGGGTCTGTGTCTTACAGCTACTACACAGGATATTTGTACAAGGATGTGTGTAAAATTGTGCAAAGAACTACATATTATTCTGTTCTATATGTCATTAAAAGATACAAGTCCAGAAAGATGTTTCTGTAGATAAGGTCTGACTCACTTTGTGCAGCTTTGTGCACAAGAATTTTCTTCTACACTCCTTGTATGCTGGGTTCTGCCGAAAGGGTTCAGGTCAGAGAAGGATGATGAAGGATCCATGTGTCTCAGCTGTCTAAAGACCTTCAGTTAGGCAGATGTGGAGACTTGATGTGGAGACAAGGCAGTGGGTTTGATGCCCGCTGAGCACTCGCTTTCTCCCATTCAGTCTTTAGACAAACACATGTCCGAGTGATTAAAATGTCCTTTATCATGTCAAGCAGACCTGATATGTTATGTTTTAAATTATGACAGTTCTAATTTCTGACCTCTCAAATGCAAGCACATCCTGCTTTAATTGACCTTTACTGGTTTATCCTGCAACTGTACTTACAGTTTACAGATTACCACCACCCAGAAAAAAAACTTGAAATGTGATGATTCTCAGGGAAGTTCTGAAGGAATTACTTTTTTCGGTAATTTCTAAAAGATTTATGGACATTTATTTTGAAGGACTGGAAGTTAAACACATCCTTGGAAAGGAAGTTAAACTGAATCTACAAATACTGTCATGGAATTTGCAGTAATTTGTTTGAAAGGGTTATAAAATACCTTAACTGCCTGTAAGCACTGCTGTTGGTGAACGGCCACACTCCAATAGCTAACATTTCCTTAATTTTAGAAGACCAGCATGCACCTGTCCCATTCACCTCATCCAACTCTCCTGTGCCTCCGTGAATAGGTGCATTTTCACAGTTTGAACACCTCTGGTTTATACATGTAGGTCACACAGTTTACGACTAAGTACTGTTATAAACTATGATTTTAACCACTGCCTCTACTAACCACTAACCACTGCGTAGTATTAAAGCAGTCATTTGAGACTTGTTTGTGATTATGTACATATGAAGGCTATAGTGTAAGGCACTAACATACCCAGTTCACTCTTAAAAGGAGAACTTGGCACAGCTCTTCTTTAAGTTTGTAATATGATGTTCAATCACTGTGCTGGGCATCTGAAAAGGTAATCCGCCGTGGACAGGATTAGAGAAGTGCCAAGTCAGTTTCCTCATCACATGCTTGCATTGCTGCATTCAGGTTCAGATGGTCGGGCAGCGGCTCTGCTAATCTGAGGCCAGCCCAATCAGAAATGGGTCCCACTGTGAGTAAGAAAAGAAAGAAAGAAAGAAAAAGAAAAATTACCCCACAGAGCAAATTGAACATTTTCCGCTTTCTGTAGCAGCTGCTGTAAATGAGTAGATGACATGAAAATGATGATCTTCTCTCCATACCATACCCAAATGGTCTATTAACTGCATGCTGTTCCTTCATGAAAGTTGCCATGCTTTACTAGTCACAGACATCAAGCTCGCTGCAAAGTATTCTTGTGTTAAATTAATGGTTTTTCAGGATCTTTGCTATGACAGCGAGGAATTTGGTTATTTTAAACCCTGACCATCAAAGAAACAAAGCAGAGTGACCTTCCAGGTTCCTGAGTTCAGGCCAGTCATTTTGTTTCAACTAAAGCCTGGAGGATGCATGTGGCTCTTGGCTTGGTGCTCTTTCTCTCCTAGATCCCACACATCACCCAGCATTCAGTTTAATGCACGTGTGTGTGGGCAGCTGTCATGATGTGCACTGGAGGATCGTGCTCATTTAGCCTTCTGCCGCAGCGTTTCTCTACATATCACCATAACATCACCTCCACACCTCCCCGCTGTCTCCTCAGATGAAGGACCATACTCAAAGGGGAGCAAGGAGGCAGGGACAACTGACCAATCACATTCGTCCCGGAGGGGCAGCCTTTCAGGTACAATACAGTCAAAACTGACTTTGCATCATTAGTAGCATGAATCTGTTTTCTGATTCATGCTACTGGACCCAATTTACCCCATGTCCCCAAAAAGAAGAAGGAACAGCATGCATTTGACTGAGACATTTGTGTGTCTATACAGTATATGTAGAGTCACGTGTCTGCTGCGTTTTGCTTGATGTTGCACTGTTTGGAATGCTTAGATAAGGTGAAAAAATGCTTGTCTGGCACACCTGCCATTGGTGCTAAACCCTACTTGGTAGACTTCCTGTAGAGTGATTTAACAGCACAGCACAACACAGACCACAAGACAGAATGAGTCCTCTGGTGACACTATTTAACATATATTCATCAGCGTTCATGTGAAATTTTCACCCACTTAAACATACAATAGGATTTAAATGTATGACCTGATGAGTCTGCCACATCTGAATGTTCAGTGAGTGTTTTTTGTAATATGTTATTGAAGTTCTTTGTAGTGGTTTTAATAAAACACATTCAAAGACTCAGTCCTCATCCTTCTTTTTCTGAAACTGTTATGAAGATTCACTGATACCGAGATATTTGAGGGAATAGGAGAAAGACACAAAAGTGAAAAAATAATGTGTGTGGTTATATGTCAGCAGGCATTTCAGTGACAGATTCAGAAAAGAAATATGAAAGAAAGGGTTTTTTGTTACCTCTCAGATGGAGTGAATCCGTGAAACAGACTTTAATGCTGACTGTGAATCTGTGCCCATGTCTTCATCTGTCAGCAGAAGAATACAGAGGAGTGACCACAGTGGAACTGATGAAAAGGGAGGGCAGCAGCCTTGGCCTCACCATCTCCGGAGGGTCTGATAAGGACGGCAAGCCCAAAGTGTCAAACCTCCGGCCAGGTGGGCTAGCTGCCAGGTGAGATCTCTGCTCTGTGATGTGGTTAAAACCTGGCAACCACGCTGAGCTGTCTGGACTAGTTATTCCGCTTCCACAAACATGCACATGTTGCAACGCTACACCGGCCTGCTCTAACTGCAGGGGCTGTGCTAGATCAGCTTGATACCAACCCACAGAGTAATATTCGTTTTAAATTAAAGTCTCCAGGAAACCACATACAGCAGGGCATGTTCATAAGTTGAAATTTAGATCATAGTTTTATCTTTTTTTCTCGCCTCATTCACTGTATGGTGATAATTATTCCGTATTAATCTTTGGTGACCATGTTTTTATGTTAAAAAATTTTCCCTAACATCAAAGCATTAAATCATTTTTCTAAAACATCAACCTTATGAATGGAAAATGTAGTGGAAGACTCAACTTTCATGATGATTAAGTAGTGTGTTGACTGCAGACTAACACACACACACACACACATATTCATACAGTTTTGTAAGAATAATACAGCCCCTCTGAAAATGCCCTGGCCAAATACACCATTGCTTATCAAGTCCATGGAACTTTAAAGATGGACACTGTGCTAATTCTTTTAAGCAGCTTGTCTTCCCACAGCTGAGTACATGCTTATGAGGAAATGTTAACTAATTTACTGGGTGGAGAGGCACTTAGACAGACAGGAGAGCGACTGGCAGCGGTCCACTGTGATGAGACCGAACCAGATGACAAGCGGGTCAGCTCTGTCGGCTAAGACGTCTCTCTCTGTCCGCTGTCAGTGCTGACTGGCAATAGCCTAGAGGTGAGAGGGGTGAGCGGGGCAGATCGGGTTGACTGGACTCTAAATTGCCCATAGGAGTGTGTGTGATTATTTGTCTACATGTCAGCCCTGTGATAGACTGGTCCTATCCAGTGTGGACCCTGCCTCTCACCCAATGTCAGCTGAGACTGGCTCCAGACCCCCTAGATAATAGATGAATGGAAGGATGAGCTGTGCTGATTCAGAATGTCATATGTGAAACATCATGTACAATCTTCTCTGTTAATGTCTGGAGAGGAGAGGCCACTCCAACATGCTCTCATTATTCTACACTGTATGTTTGTCTGCATATTGTACAGTATGATCAATATGATCAATATATCACAACAACTATCTAGACACAAACTAATACAACCAACCATGCAGTAAAATCTGAAAGAACAGCCTGGATATTGATTTCAAAGTAGACAGTTGCATCTCATTTTCATCATGACTAGATTGACCTGTTAAGGAGCCTTGGAGCATCAAGTTGTTGTTAATTATATGTGGGTTCATTACAGATTTAATTTATCTGTAAGTCTCAAGATGTTAAAACCCGCTGCCTAATAACAACAAGAAACCAGAACTCAGTTGACAGCTGATATTGTATACTATATGAGCAAATTAGCAAAAACCAGTTGACATGAAATTTATTTGCATGGTGTTCCAGATTGGTCTGTCCATCACTTTCTGCAGGAGTGACCAGCTGAATGTAGGAGACTACATTAAGTCAGTGAACGGCATCAACCTGTCAAAGCTTCGTCATGATGAGATCATCAGCCTGCTGAAGAACATTGGGGAGCGAGTTGTGCTGGAGGTGGAGTATGAGCTGCCTCCAATCGGTAGGTGAAGTCAGCAAGATGGGTATTCCACCTGAAAGTGGCTGGTCATGTCTTCATGATGACTAATGTAACAAGGTATAAAAGATATTCCTGTAATTTTTGAGATATGCAGGTTAAAACACAGTATGTCTGGATGTCTAGGTTTAAACTGGGCTTTTCTATCCATCCATCCATCCATTTTCTTCCGCTTATCCGGGGCCGGGTCGCGGGGGCAGCAGTCTAAGCAAAGATGCCCAGACCTCCCTCTCCCCAGACACTTCCTCCAGCTCCTCCGGGAAAATGCCGAGGCGTTCCCAGGCCAGCCGAGAGACATAGTCCCTCCAGCGTGTCCTGGG